TCACGTTAAGAGCCATAATTTTGTCTAAATAACTGGTAACAGGTTTAGTGGGACAACTGCCGGCCAAGACAACGAGTCGAGCTGGGTTGTTATGGTGAGATTATTCGCAGTAGCCGGAAATGCTAGAGTACTAAGTAATTGAATCACCACGCAATTTGTTGTCGTAAAACAGCCTTTGAGTAATTAAGAATTAGTAACGATATCGACACAGATAATAATAGTATTGAATACGTTTATGTACAATGGACTTGTTAAACACCTACAAGCTAGACAACGAGAAATTCCTCCCTTCGGCGAAATTCGTTGCACAAGTCAAGAAAATCAGCTAAAAAAAAACACCTGATGTTATCATATCACACAGACCGCTGGGAGTGAGGTACACTCCCAGATTTCCACGCGGTACGCAAACATCCATTCTTTTTTTAGCTGATTTTCTTGTAGTGCGAGACGGATTTCGCCGAAAAGGAGGGATTGCAGGACATAAATCCTTTATTTGTTCGTTGTATTACACCCTACGAAAATGACTATTATTCCTTATTTGAAGATCCGTTCTAAGTCACTAATACATCTTTTAAGAGTCGGTTGTTTAACATAGTATTTTCTGAAGGGAAATTTGAACAGATTGTTAGTGTTCTCTTTTAATGAATAATTTTCATTTCCTTATCGACCACAAGATAAGGAGAGTTCTAACTCATGCCATGTAAATGTCAGTACTGAGCATATATAACGTTTCAGTACAGTATTGAGTGGTAATTAGACTGGTGACTTACAAGTCGGTCAACTTCGTGTTCTTATTGAAGACACCTGGTGGTAGCTCCTCTATCTGATTGGCGGCGAGATTTCTACGAGAACATACGGGTTAGTAAGTTAAACGTTACTTTTTTTGCTTCCTTTTGAGGTTGTTAATTTAAGGCTTTGTGATGAATCGGAAAATGCAAGATTTTGTAACAATCTTTAAAAAGCTGGAGCAAAGTGTTCTCGTCATAGAAGCGTCGACTAACATTGCTCGACTGGTTGAGCTAACCGCACATGAATGAATGGTTATTTTCAACCATTTCATGGTTGATAATAACTATGGGTTTAACGTCTTTTCACTAATGGGGTTGTTGGGTATTTCTCTTTTCGAGACAAACGATGCATTTTGGAATTGGTATATTTTATATCGCGCAATTAGTCTCAAGCCGGACTCAACCTTAAACAAAACGACAGTGGCGGCAAAGGACGGTGCAGTTTAAGATAAGAAATTGAACAATCGACAATCGACGGTGCCTCTAAAGAGGAAACCCAATTTCACACTATAAAACAAGTGCCTACTGGACAAAATTTGCAATAAAGATATATTGTCTGTGAGCGAAGTTTCCTTTCACTGATTCTCTGAAATGAGTTTAAGGTCTTTTTAAGTAAAATTAATGATTAACCAGATTCTATGCTCATGGTGGATGACTGTTGACACATTCCACAATCTCTGGTTATTATCCAAGACTCCATCAGCAATATGAATATTTATAGGCTCTTCACTTATAGCCAACGAAACTTGACTAAATGAGCAAATAAATCACCACGCAACTTCTTGATTTGCTTTTTCTTTAAACACCTACAAGAGTTTAAAAACGTCTCTTTAAGATAACAAGACAATGCAGAAGAACTGCTCAAAATTTTCAAATTCCTTGATTGTGTTATTGTTTAACCACCTAAAGGTGTTCAAAAACGTTTCTTGAGGGTAATAAGACAAAGCACACAGGATTGTTCGAAATTTTTAAACTTTAATAGTCCAGGCGAAAAGAGGTTAAATGTAAGCGTTACGTCCATTTTTTTCGCTGATTTTCCTGACTTGCGCGATGAATTTCGCCGAAAAGGAGGGACTGCTTGTAGTCTATTCCAAGTTGACCAATTCGGTTTTTTTTAATAAAGACTCCAGGAGGTAAATCCTTCATTTGGTTGTTCTTAAGTCACTAGGAAAAGGACTGACATTCCCTGATTTTAAGGTCTTTTCTAATATAGTTGGTAATACAGCTTTTTACAGTTGGTTGTTCAAAATAGT